ATGCCCCGGTTGATGATGTCACATGAGGGCAGGGTCACACGGGTGGTGTCACCGGGTGGCCCCACCCCTTACATATTTAAGAACTGTCAAACCAGTGGAACAGTCAGATGGCGGGAACCAGCATCGGGAGCGGAACCTTTGTGTTTTTTTTCTTTTTTTTTGGGGCGGTGGCGGGCATCGTGATTGACGTTGGATCTACTTCGGGGGACATTCTTTTATTTTCCTTCTTTTAATAAAGGACTTGTCAAAGACTGTCTCCTGTCTTTTTTCACACTACACTTTTTTTTGTGAATGAGTAGCTGGACCATATACCCTATACTCAGGGGGAGGGCGCTAAAGGGGGCGTCCAGATTTCGATAAGCCCCCTGCCCGCAGACCCCCACAACCACAGCCCAGGGTTGTTTGGAAGAGGCCCTTCTCCCCATCAACATGGGGACAAGGTGCTTTGGGGGGGAGGGGGGAGCCCTTCTTGCCCCAAAGCACCCCCCATGTTGAGAGCATGTGGCCTGTTATGGTTCAGGAGGGGGGGGGCGCTTGCTCATCCCTCATGACCTGCTGGGCTACATACAATCTGTTGACAAATGTTGACATCCGTTTTGAGTTTTTTTGCGGAAGAAAAAGAGGGTTTTCTTCCGTTCAAAAAAAAGGATGTTAACGGATGTGAACATTATCGGATGCAGAAAAATGTTCATCCGTTTACACCTGCAAGTCCATAGAAATACATGGGGGTCCGTTTTCATCTGTAAACGGATAGACGAAAAAACGGACATATGGAACGCCCATGTGAAAGGGACCAAAATGATTAACCAACATAGATAGAAGACACAATCTGAAACAATTCCAAATGTTACAAAAGGTAATTATTTATTTAAACTCCCATAATTCATGAACAGAAATAACAGATCTTCACGCTGTTTTATACAAAACATGTAAGGTCCATGTTCCAAAGACCAAAGATAATATTTCTTTGAGCAAGCAGGGTAAACATGAAAGTAAAAAGGTATCATTGGTATTAGGTCAACAACATTCATGCAGCAACCTGACAACATAATATCACGATTAGCTTAGGTTTTATATTCAACAATGATTGCCTGGATGGCTAAGGCTATAGTTCAGACTTTCTCAACCTTTTCAACACAGAGAAGCCCTTGAAATACCTTTCTAGTCTCAGGGAACCCTGCTAAAAATGACTTTATCTACAACTCATTATACATTAGTGTGATGTTCTGTGCGAAGAATGCTCCTTACACTTGTGGTTATTGGGAAGAAATTCCCCCTTACAGATAGAAAAAAGAGAATTGGTGTCAGTGGGAACACAAGATACTTAAATTGGTCATTGCACAAGGAACCCCTAGCAACCTTTGGAGGAACCCTAGAGTTCCATGGAACTCAGCTTTAGAAACCCTGCTATAAGCACTCCCTTCACTTCCTTGTATACCCCCAACTCTATATAAGAAATTTATGTTAAATGAGAAAAAAAAAAAGAAACAAAAATGAGCCTTCATTCACTGGGTTCTGGGGAGCATTTAGTGCACATTAGGAAAATATGAAGCCATTTTCATTTAGGTTCTTGTATGTTAAAGCTTTCTGGTGGATAGCAAGCAGTAACTGTTATAATAGGACAGCATAGGAAGTAGTACCACATGATCATCCCACATCGTGGCAGCAAATCATACAACTGACTTAATCACCTTAACCAGAAATTCCTCTTATTCTGAAAAATGTCACGTGTGAATGCCATTGTTATGAATGACTGAAAATGCATCATACTTTCATCTAGTCTCTAACAATTATATGACATGGTCTATATTCAGATATACTGCACTGATATAGTGATACAATGAAATAAGTTTTTTATAACTGTCAATACACATTCATTCTAAAATTTGGTGGCGAAGTCAGTAGGGTAATTTTGACAAATTATAAAAAGTATTGCTAAAAAGCCCAATTGTCTTTTAAATTAATAAAAATAACATTTTCAGTTGGTCTGCTAGACTTGTTTGTAGCAGATACAGGAGCTGCATTGGTTCCCTGGTTGGGACTTGACTGCTAGCACTACAATCATGATACTATAGGCATCAAAGGAGTGTCTTTGCACAAATTCTGTGCTTTGAAATATTTCCACAATTAATTCCTTTGTTACTATTTATTTAAAACATTAGGATTATACTGATGGTCAGCAAAAATTGTAAACAAAGTAATGATGGTTTTATGAGTAATTTTGGCATGACAATGATTAATATTTTCACTGCAGCTGTGGATCAGAACACTATGCAAGGTGGGAGTATTCGCTAGGGGAGCTACTGACAAGAGTGAGGTCAATTAACGCAGACAGATGAATCAGTTTTCATTTTTGGTATGATGTACATCAAATCCTTAGCAGGTTGGCCATTCGTATTACATCAAGGCTCAATACATTGAGTGCAACATTTGGTATGTGCTAGGAATTCCCCCTAAACCCTTAAAGCTACCTCTGTAATCTACAGAGCTATGTTGGTTGGAGTACATGCTCCAGGTAGGGTCTTTGGTTGGAGTACATGGTCCAGGTAGGGTCTTCTTTGACAGACGGCCAGACTAACAGTAGTCAAGTGGATCTTCATAATTTTATGTAAAGTTCAGAACATAAATGCAAACGCTACAACTGTGTCTGATGGTCTTTGTAAAACTCATTCAGTTACTATTATGACTTCCTTTGGAAAAAAAAACTGCAACAGCTCTTGTGTTGTCAAAAGCTAGCCCTGAACACCTGCTTAGCTATCTGACAACACTGAGGAATGAAGACAGTTCTGGGTGACAGCACAGGAGAGGAAGGGGTCATGTCAGACAGTAAAAACAAAGCCCACACAGTCCCTGCTCCTCCTCCTCCCAAGCTGCCAAACGGAACATCGCTGTGCTGTCTCCTCATCTCTGCTATTTATGTTGTATTTTACACAGATTCTGGAGCTGCAGCCTACTGTTTAGGGGCACACTGGAAACTGTCAGCTTGTTTTTTAAATGATTGCAGTTGGAGAAAGGGCTTTCATTCACAAAAACACAAGCTGACAATAGTACAAACCAGACACTTCACAAGACTAGTGTAGTAGCCAATGCATGCTGTTGTTAGCTTGTGTTTTTATGAATGAAAGCCGTTTTCTCCAACTGCAATCATTCAAAAAACAAACTGACAGTTCCCACTGTGCCCCACAGAAGAGATGAGGAGACAAGGAGCTACAGAATAAAGAGGCATTAGGAATCAGTGCTGGCTGTAACCCCCCATGAGAATGGCCATGTTTTAGGCTTCAGTAAGAGTGGCACTAAGGCCAGAAATGACAGAAGAGAAAGATTCTTTCTTCATCCACTGCTCAGATTATAATGGGGACAAGTGCTATGTGCACTGGATCCCCTGGGGGGATTTAATAAGCTTTTTTTTCTGGTGATAGATCTTCCATAATTTTTTAGAACTACCACTTGAGAAATGTTAAAACAACAAAATGTGCACTTTAAAGTAACTCAAGTTTTTCTGAAGTCTGATAAGTTGGTGCCAAGGAAGCTACCACTAAGCAGCCACAAAAAAATACAGAATTTAAGACCAGATTTGGATCCTGAAATTTACAAGCCAAGTATGAGATAGGCAAGCCAGATAAGGTTGCAGTAGAAATGTGACAGCTCAGCCTGCACATCCTGGGAATCGGCACAAGCAGATGGACTGGATTAAGGAAAAAGTAAAGACAAGCAGTCCTGTATTCAAGAGACAATGATGACCGCCAATATGAGTTTGTAGAAGCCTTTTGAGGACAGGAACTGAGCAGTCACTAATAATCCGTTAATAGCAGATTAGTTACAGAATGAAAGGGAGAGATGTCAAAATATACAGGGTTCAGTTATATTCCCCAACACATGAAGTAGGAGACAAACATACATTCTAAGAAGAACTGCAATGTTTAAAAACGACCCCAATGAATAGGAAGACAGAGTGCTTTTTTAAAAATTTGGAATAGGAATATTTTGTTATATGAGGAACCTTTTGATATCTGCCCACTGACAGCTATATTCACCTACTGGAAGAAACAGAAAATTGATTGAATTTGGTTAACGGTACCTAAAGATGATCAGTACTGCTTGATGTCAAAGAGATAGCAACCTTCTATGTAGCAGGTTGTGTGGAGTTAAAATTGAAAGGTGGAGTAATGCTTAATTAAATGAATGGTCATCACTCAAATGCACAAATTGTTGCTTAACTATCTTATGCTGGAAGGAACGCCTGTCCTGTGTTGGAAAACCACTGAAAGTGCTCTTTAACACTGTCGGCAATGCTTACCACAATCTGAAATGCGATCCATGGTGGATCACTTTTCAGAGGACAATATAGTAATGGCTCACAGATGTTCAGGAGCCACCTCCTGATGCCTGTTTTTTTTCTACTTTTTTTTTTTTTAATTGTTGAAAGGCAATTTAACATGAGTGATTGCACTGCAACTGTGAGGCAAGCATTTGTCTGTGCGGCCACATTGCTCTCAATAGGCAAATTTGACAGGTGGTGCTGCCTGGCAAACTCTGCAGCCTGAGAAGCAGAGCATTGTGTCACTCAGCATGTGTACAGCCCTATCAGGCTGTACTGTTAGTGTTGAGATGGACTCAGGAGGGGTGGGCAGTTATACTGCAGCTCAGCTGCCTGCCATAGCCCATGTGAAAGAACCCAAAGACTCCCACTGCTGTGCATCCCTTTCTTAGGGACGGTTCACACTACCGTACAGTAACATTCTGTGCTTACCATGCTGGAAGTGTCAGTTTTTGGCCAGCGGTGCCTTGGGCTTTTAAAGCGCATAGCACTGTTTACTTTTTTTAACTTTATTGAAATGTTACAGTATTTCAGCTGAAGTGGGATGTGTGGAAATACAAATGGAAACAGAGATGCAGGTAAGCTAGAGGTACATCCCAAATTTCTGCACCAAAGCCCAAGGTTGCCTTTAAGATGGCAACAAAAAAAAAAAATGAATGCATAAACGATCAACATATCAGGGGATCTAACTATAGGGGCGTCAAACTGGCGGCCCTCCAGCTGTTGCGAAACTACAAGTCCCATCATGCCTCTACCTTTGGGAGTCATGCTTGTAACTGTCAATCTTGCAATGCCTCATGGGACTTGTAGTTTGGCAACAGCTGGAGGGTCGCCAGTTTGACACCCGTGAATTATATCATACTCTATCCAAACTAAGTGTTTCAGCAAATATTATTTAAATATAAGAGGCGTGTGCATTATTACTTGAATCTTGGTATGCTTTGTGTGTTTCTTCCAGATCTATGCAGTAATCTAGTGTGAAAGTTTGCCTTTGTGCAGGAGCATCCTGTATTAAAGACCGGTCACTGCTGCTCTCTCCTTTTGCAGGGTGACTGGCCTTGTCTCCGCCCCTTCTGTAGTTTTCAGACAGCCTGTATTGGGAGTAGCCTGCAGGGTCCTTCTGACAGCTCTGATCTCTGCACAGGCTATGTGCAACACATTCATGGTTTCACTGCTTCTTGTACAAGAAAATATTTGTGTTTGCATAGGCATTTGGATTGTTCTCATTTGTGTCTATTGAGGAATTTATTTAAAGTGATTGTAAAGGCATAGTTTTTATTTTGTAAAAATAACAAACATGCCATACTTATTTGCTCTGTAGTACCGTTGCTCTTGGCTCTTCCCCCTTTCCGAGTGTCCCCATAGCAAGCCACTTGCAATGGAGGCACTTGTGCGTGCTTGCTTCTAAGCATGCTGTGTCCATAAGACACACAGAGCGTGGCGTGGCTTGGCTGCCCCCCCCCCTTCCTCCTTATTGGATGTAATGGACATCAGCAGGAGCCAATGCCTTGTAAGCCGTGTCCCGGGGTGGGCTCCCCAGGATACAATGAAGTCATGATACAGGAAAGCAACCCCAACACCAGCTTTTGCCACAACAGAATTTTACTTAGATGTGGCAAATAAACACAACCACAAATGCTGGAAACATACAATAAATTTACATACACCCAGCCCAAAGGCTGAGACCCTTGTGCTGCACAGCACGGCGCCTCCTGATGGATGAAGGTAGAAGGTGTAGTAATTTACCTACTAGCGGGCACAACTAAGCTGCCACACCTTACCCGTTATTACCCTAAAAGAGCAGGAATCAGTGTATGGGTGTATGGTATGGGCTAGCCTGTGGTGCAGCACAACAGCTTACAACCTTACACAAATCTACAGTATTCCCCCTCCCATAACTGGTCCTGTAGCATGTGCCTGAGTATTCCTTCTGAGCAAAACGCCAGTCTGGCTTGAGTTTGTAGAATTTTATCAGCTCTCCAATGTGAAATGTCACTTTAAGTTTTGGAGTCCTTCCAATGATCAGTAATAACACTTGTGGCCTGACACAAACAGAGACCCTAACTAACTATAGGCCTGGCCTCAGTCTCTAGGCACCAACACTAAAATGAGGTCCGTGCAGGATCTTACTGACCCGGGTCTGCGTGGCATCCGCTGGTGACTCTGAACAGAACAAATGTGTCTCCAACAATCATGCGGTATCGCAGTGTATGTTGCTTTGCTCCTCTGCTCTCATCAGCATACCTGGCAGCAATCTTCCTTTCTCTGAACAGGATCAGGGTCTTGGACACGATCAGCTTCACTTAGCTGCAGCTCTGGTTACTAAGGGATGCTCTCACACCTGGATGCCATCAGATTCTCTGCTCACACGGCTCCTCCATTCACCATCCTCCAAACATTGCTCCTCTCTCTCCTCTTCCTGTTCTCTCAACTCAGTGTGAAAACCCCACCTCTTCATGAATATAGAAATATCTATGCAGTCTGAGGCTGTGTTAGGAAAACAGTGGCATCTTGTGGCTAAACAGCAGAATGTCAGTCCAGAACATTTAATTTACTCCACACAAACAGTGTTCAAACAATGAGAGCTGTTTCCCCATCTCACAGCCTCCCACTGCTGTGTCTGAGCCTAGTATAAGATGGGGGGGGAGCTGATCGCAGAAGCTTTTTTACCTTAATGCATGGAATGTATTAAAGGTAAAAGCCTTCTGTCTTTAGAACCACTTTAACTGACAATTTTTTGGTTCCTGGCATTCGGCTTTTGAAGGGTGTATCTCCAATTGCTGGGCTGGACCTAAATGTCCACCACTACAAATTGCCATTCATGGCTTAAAGGTCCAATATTCGCCTGTGAGAGGGTCTGAAGATACTAAAAGGTAGCCACCTGTCAGGCCTACCTATCCTGTATTAGCCAGTGGCAGAGGTTAAGAATACTAGAAGATACTACTGGGAGTGAATTGTTGCTGTTGTTTTTTGGGTATCCGGTACCCCTAACCCTCTATCCCCTAGATTTGAGTGGAAGTCTGCTCGTCGGTCGCTTCTGGTGAGTGTCTGGGTGCAGCTGTAGGCCACAGCATTAGTACGGCTGTTTTCAGATTGATGTGGTGCGTTTGACCGCAACACAGGAGCAGCGCAGTGTACCCATGGGTTTGGTGCGGGTTAGTTGTGGTTTCCCATAGAGTTCAATTAGGTCCTGAGGTTTTGGTGTGCTTTCTGAAAGTGTGAAGCACAGTGGCTAAATGGTTAGCATTTGCACCTGGCAGTACTTTAGGGTTGTTGGTTCAAATCCCAACCATGGCACCACCTGCCTGGAGTTTGCATGTTCTTCCTGTGCCTGCGTGGGTTTTCTCTGGGTAGTCCGGTTTCCTCCCACACTCCAAAGACATGTTGGTAGGTTAATTGTATCCTGTCTAAATTGGCCCTAGTATGTGTATGTATGAATGTAAGTCAGAGACCAGGGGCGGACTGACCATTTGGAAACTCGGGCACTGCCCGAGGGCCTGGGGTCATTAGGGGCCCCATGAGATGCCCCTGGTACCTTTTTTCATAGGCTTTTTTGAGTTTAGGCAAGGACACAGCGGCCCCATGATCCCCTTGTGCCCGGGGGCCCCATGAGTTGTTAGTCCGCCCCTGTCAGAGACTTTAGATTGTACGCCCCTTGAGGGTTAGGGGTTGATGTGAATGTACAATATATGTAAAGCTCTGCATAAATTGATGGTGCTATAGAAGTACCTATAATAAAGAAATAAACTGCGGGACCTAATAGAACTCTATGCAGCGAACCCACACCCAACCTGCGGGTACCATGCGCTGCTCTTGCGGTATGGTCAAACTACACCACATCAATCTGAATGCAAAGGTCAAAAAGGGCCTATAAAATCCAACAGCTCCTTTGAGAAGGGGGGTACATTCACTTTTGGAAAAGCTATTTTAAATATAATTCAATTGTAAAGCAATGAGTATATTTACTATTTTGTTGGAGTTAGCTTTTTTTAAACAAGGGCTGTAAAAAATGCCCATCATTGCTTACAAGTGCAAGCAATGTTTTATTAAATGAAGTATATTAATTGAACATTTGACGGCTTTTGCAGTAGACACATTCTTTCACAGATGTGACTCTAAGATATCAATGAAACTAGATAGCCTGGAGATAGAATGACCAAGAAGAGATGACAGCCAGTGATACTTAACCAGTATCTAAAATTAAACGTGGAATGAATAATGAAAAAGGATGTAAATACAGAAGGTTAGGAAAATGTTGAAGGGGAATAATGCAACCTGCTTGAAATTATGCATTCATGTAAGAGAAAGTAATCTGTGATATTTTAAGATTTATAACCTACAGCACATTTTTACAGTACTAGGGGTTCTACAGAAAAGTACTGACATCGGTCAAAGTATGTGAGAACTGACAGCATGCTCCTTTCTGCCCTCGCAGGGACAGTCTGTTCTTCCCTAATCCATCAATTCTGTCCTGATGCAGTCTAGAGGATGATGTCTTTTCCGCAACACTGCTTCTCAACACAGTAATCAATGGCCTGCCTCTAAGTAACACAGCTCAAATGAACACTAAGGCCCCATGTACACGGGACACTTCTGAATGATGGAAACTGATTTGGAAAACGTAGGTTAAAAAATGTCTGTTTAGCTGCGTTTGCATACCATGTTTATGCGCGTTTATGAGCAATTGCATTTAGAAGCGTTTTTTTTAAAGATAACCTTAGGAGACCTTACAAAATGCCCAGAATGCACTGAAAAACAGTAAAAAATTAACTATTTCAGACATTTTGAGAGAAATAGAGAGAGCAGAAGCAGAGAGAGCAGTATTTGTTGAGATTAGGTGTTTTTTTTTTATTGTGGTGTTTGGATGTGTTCCAGATCATTTCTGTGCAGAAATTATTGCAGCAGTGTCTAACATATTTTCTTTCATGCAAAACCTCAAAGTTTGGTGTACCAGGTCCATTTGAGTACTGGGAAAATGCTTTGCATGCATTTTTCATGATGAAAAAATATCTGGACAGCAACTGGAAAAAGAAGAGTTAAAAAAAAAAAAAATTCAACCGCAAATGCTTAGAAATGTGGTTACAAGCGTTTGGCGTTTGAAACGCTGATAAAATCTACTCCTGAACGCAAGTTTTCTGCATTCAAAAAAAAAACAAATGTAAACTCAACTGCCTGTAAATGACTATGTGTACATGGACACATAGGAAAACATTAGGGAGAGTTCAGGGGCTGCTGAAAAAAAAAACACTGAACAGCTCCTAAAACGTGAGTTTATCAGCTGCTGTGTACATGAGCCCTAAAGGTAGAAGTTTATACAAAATGGGTTTCATGTATAAAAACCATGTAAGCTTCTTCAAACGTTCTATGTGCTATTTTTGTGCCTACAGCTAAGTTATTAGAATATGTTTTAGGGCTCATGTACACTGCAGCTGCTAAACTGATGTTCAGGATCTTTTCAGCATTTTTTTCAGCAGCCCCAGAACTCTCCCTAATGTTTTCCTATGTGTCCATATACATTATGTTGTCTACAGTCATTTACAGACAGTTGAGTTTACAGTCATTTTTCTGAACGTACCAAACTTGCGTTCATGAGTAGATTTTACCGGCATTTCAAATGCCAAATGCGGTTATCTGCGTTTATAAGCGTTTGTGTTTAGAAGCGTTTTTTAACTGTTCCATGTCCAGAGCCTTTTTTCATCATCAGAAATGCATACAAAGTGTTTTCCATGTAATCAAATGGACCCGGTACACCATTGCAGTCAGTTCCAGGTTTTGCGTGAAGAAAAAATGGTAGAACGTGCCGCATTATGCTCATGATGGGATCCATAGTGAATACAACCAGAAAAGACAGGTCATCTCAACACATACTGCGCTCTCTGCTTTTGCTCTCTCTATTCCTCTCAAAATGTCTGAAATAGTTAATTTTTTACTGTTTTTCAGTGCATTCTGGGCATTTTGGAGGGTCTCCTGAGGTTATCTTTTAAAAAAGCTTTTAAATGCAAATGCCCATAAACGCGCATAAACGTGTTATGCAAACGTGGCTAAACTGACGTTTTTTAATCTACATTTTCCATCATTCAAAAGATTTTCCAAACGCCCCGTGTACATGAGCCCTTAAAACTGAATTCCAGGCAGATACCGTATAAACACAATTTATAAGAGTAATATAGAAAGTAAAAAAGTATTAGAGGGTCATTAAAAAGTGATACATTAGCTGTAAGTGGAGTCTAGTTCCTCGCTCTGCTCACCCACCTTGGAATTATGTTCCCAGTCTGACCACATTCACACGAGCATACATAAGTATACATCCGTTCGAACAGTCATGTTTGCCCGCACAAGATGCACTAGTGTTCCATGCATCCACATACATGCAGTCCCATTCACGTCTGTTGGGACACAGAGACTGTACAGACACAGCCGCTGCTCCCAATTTGACATCTGGGTGGTCCCCAAACTCACACTATCTGCATTCAGGTACACTCACCCAGATGTCATATTGGGAGTAGCCGCTGTGTCCCAATAGAAATAAATGAGACTGCCTGTATGCGGATGCATGGAACACCTTTAAATCTTATGCGGGCAAACGCAGTCCTTTGCAAGGACATACGCTTGCTGCATTAGAAAGCATTATACATTAATAAGTCATAAGATGCATTTTATATACGCCTAGCATCTAAATCATAAATCCTACAAACCAATTTCTATATTTTTTAGCACAGCAGGGCTAACTCTGAGAGAGGGAGTGACAGCACTCTGAGCCAATCATTTTGCACAGTGCTTGCTAGCCTAACACTAAACATGCTTACTAGAGAGAAGACCACAAGGATGATTTTATCAGTGTGCTGCCTGTAGGAAGGTGCAGTCTGTTTTCTTCACTGTAGGTGGCGCTCATACTGAATGGTACCACAGACTGGAGAGGAAGTCCTAGGGCAGGGGTGTCAAACTGGTGGCCCTCCAGCTGTTATGAAACTACAAGTCCCATCATGCCTCTGCCTTTGGGAGTCATGCTTGCAACTGTCAATCTTGCAATGCCTCATGGGACTTTGGCAACAGCTGAAGGGCTGCCAGTTTGACACCTTGTCCTAGGGAAACCTGTTTTTTTCTATGGCTTCCTGGGTTAAAAGGAGGAGCAATCCAGTTGGCTACACAGCAGCCATGTGACCCTCAGCATCCATCTTGGGTCAATAGGGTCTATTTAAGACCCTGCCCCGGGTTTTGGGAGTGACTAGTGTTAGGAGAGACCCCGCTTGCTAGAAAAAGTAATTAGAGATAGGGAAAGGTTCCTGACGTGGAGGGACAGGCTATGGGCTAGCTGTCTTGGAAAAGTGCCTCCCCTCTTGGGACTGACCCAGCCAGGCCACACTTCACCCTCTGAAACAGACACTGTCGGCATCTCTCCTCATCTGACTGCATTGAACTGGGAGTTATATCCCTAAAGGTGCTCTCCTGCTAGGGTGTTTGTAATGTTGACATTCTGTTCAAAGTTCCAGGTTTACTGTAACCGGATTGTGTGTGTTTACTGCCCGCACCGCACTGCACCTCCCCACATGCTGATCCTTCATTGACCAACCAACGGCTTGGATAGGAGAGGTGACCAAGGAAACTAAACAGAAGCAGCTTTATTTACAAGAGTTACCCATTACAAGGGTTGTGATGGCATCAGCAGATTCATCAGGTGAACTTGGTGCTGTGCGGTCTATCTGCCAATAACTTACTATCGCATTGCAATCTAAAGAAATGCAATGCCCCTCTACATATTTTACTTAGGGAAGAATGGGGAATAAAATAATGTGGATTAATTATGCTTCAACCAGACAGCAATGATAATGGCACTATCAGGGCCCATGCCCACGTAACACAGTGCACTGCATTTTCTGTATTTAACAAGAATAACAATGTAATCTAATAATAAATCCTGCTTAGGTACAAGTACATTCAATCTGTTAGCAGCTATGAGCTCACAACTCTAGACGAGGCAAGGTCTCAGAGACTAAGCTCCCTCCTGGGCTATTATAAAAAAAAAAAAGACGTCATGGCAAAAAAAGTTGCATCATTGCCAGGAGGAATTTGTAAAAAATACTAATTGAATATATCATACACACTATGGATAAATGGCACTTTCCTGACATTTGTTTGGACCCCCTCCCATTATAGCTAAACTCCAAGAGGCTATAAAAAAAAGACACAAATTAATGCTTATGCTCCTTATTCGGTAATGCAACATTAAATGTATTTTAAATGTAGTACAAGTACCTGCATTTGACTTGGTATCAGCCATTTTCAGTCACTGTACAGCAGAGCTCAGACTGAGGGAGGGGAAAGCAGCACAAGGATCCAATCAGTTGTGCTGCAGTGCACAGAATATTCAGATAGAAGAGAGCAGAGTGACACAAGGATGATCTTATCAGTCCGCTATAGTATAGAGATGATCCTCCTGCACTACCTTCCTACCCCAAGTGACCCCTGGAACCCTGAGGAAGTCACGTGACCCGTGACGTAACGCGTAGAATGGAAGCGTGGTGATGTCATATCCGGTACGGACGGCAGCTGCTATCTTGGTACTCTCAAACCCATACACCTTCCCTGCAAGAATTTTGCCTGTTTTGGTCTGCGGACCTATTTGAAATGTGAGTAGTAATTTTTAGATGTTATTTAAAATAAAGTTTGTGACATATTGCACTATGGGAGTCTTCTTGCTTGTATCTTCTATGTGAGGCATTGGGGATGACAGAGGTCTGCGGACATTACTGGAGCATGCTTGTGAGTGTTTGTCGGCGCCATTGGAGATGACCTTTTGCTTTCTGATTGTATCGAGGATCAATTTCTTGGAAATCATTGTTTGAGGCTTTCTATGCTTTGTGACTCCTTGTGGGTTGAATTTTGAAGGTGAGCTCACGCGCTAGCCGGTGGAGGATTTGTTCGTATATGTTTGCAGCACTGGATGTGTCACAGCATGCACTGAACATTCACTGCGTTTTTTTTCTGAATTTTTGGGACTGTCATATTTTATATATATTTATATATATATATATTTTTTTTTTTTTTAAATATATTTTTCGATTGAGCCACTCATCAATTGTTTTTGATTGATCATTTGGGACTGAGTCACTTTTTTATACATAAGCCATTGATATATTGACCTGTGTCACTAGCACTTCATAGCCGTTTTTCTGCGGCCGAAACTGTCACTTGGCATTATTTGCACCATTTATGCATTTATATGATATGTTATGTTCACACCTGGATGAGGGACATATATATATTCAGTTTATGTCATTAATTTTTCACTTAGTAGCGCAGCACCCTGTCACATTTTAATAGTTTTTTCACGTATCAGTCCGCTGCTTCTCTTTTCACTGTTCAGTCACAGGAAGTACAAGACTTGTAAGTGGCACTTTACTGCAGCATAGAACAGAAGGTTTTGTATTTATACCATCCAGTTCATACTGCTATGCTACACAGCACAGCCCTATCTGGCAGGGTAGAAGATTTGAATTTTCTCTGTGCAAGTAAAGCAACACTTAGGGCTCGTTCACACTTGACTGTTTTACCAACGCTTGTCAAACGCCCCTATAGCATTTGGCAAGCGTTGGTCCGGCGTTTGCGGAGCGTTTTTTAACTGTCGGCTGCTGCACTAATAGGACCTCTGTATGTGTATCTCTAGGCAACAGTCTTTATCTTCTGTCAGAGACATGTATGCTGCTTTCAGCTGACACTATTACAATCCGGGGAGTACTATGATACACATGTGACCACAATGTTTATATTCCTGGGAATGCAGTTTATACACATCTGATTATTGTTTTATGGTTTATTTATTTTTTCAGTGTTTCTGTTTACATTGATTTGAATGCATTTTCGGAGGGAACATGACATCATAGGGCGGGGCCAGACTCATTTCACTTCACTCTGATTGGTGGATGGTTTTCTTAAATAGTTCTCCCAGTTTCTGTCACAATTTGTCACATGCCTGATGGAGTCCTGCGAGACTCCGAAACGTTGCCTTGCTGTAACTATGATCGTTCAATAAAACTTTTGGCCCCATATTGATGATCCTTGGTGTGCTGGTGACATTCTCCCTCGCTGATTCTGTTCAGTTCCAGCCGACGGTCGCTGCAGCACCCACTTATACACACAGCCATTTTTTAACGCAGGAACGTGTGCGTTTGGATTGAACACTTGCATTCTGTGAGAGGGGGGACTTAGGAGACACTGTGGGGAGGGGGGGGACACAGGAGACTCTGTGGGGATGGGGGGGGGACACAGGAGACTCTGTGGGGAGGGGGGGACACAGGAGACTCTGTGGGGAGGGGGGGGACACAGGAGACTCTGTGGGGGGGGGGGGGGACTTAGGAGACACTGTGGGGGGGGGGGACACAGGAGACTCTGTGGGGAGGGGGGGGACACAGGAGACTCTGTGGGGAGGGGGGGGACACAGGAGACTCTGTGGGGAGGGGGGACACAGGAGACTCTGTGGGGAGGGGGGACACAGGAGACTCTATGGGAGGGGGCTTAGGAGCAGTGCCAGGACAAGGCCATCCAGTGCCCTGGGCAAAGATAACAAACTGCGCCCCTCCCCCCCCCCCCCCGGCAGGTGTAATGAAAGAATCAGTGTCATTTGAAAACAAGAGAATTGGACACAGCCGATCAGCATGTCCCAGCCATGAATCATTGGATCTGCTGACAGGCTCCCGCTGTGCACAACCACTTGGAAGAAGGTGGGTGGGCGCATTGGCACGTGCCCGAAACCCTGAAACAGGCAGTGACATACGGGAACATCGTGACTGTAGCTGCTGCTGGTTGCAGTAAATGTACGGCGGCAGGTCAGCGAGTGGTTACTTACCAATGATATCTGTAATATTCAGCATGAAGGGGGTTAATGTACTGTAATGACGCATTAGTGACCAATGGCAGGCAGTTAGCTCCTTTGTGCTTCATATTACTAATACTATTGGTTAATTAATTAACTCCTTCACCCCCCACAAAAGAGCAAATTCATCTTTCAGATCTGCTTACTTCACAAGGTTCCTCTGGCCTCTCACTTGCAGCGCCGGCGGCAGCACCACACTCTCCTCTCTCATCCTGTCCTCTCAATGACATCACCGGGATGGGACTAGGAAGCTCCTATTGGGTGGAGATGACTCCACCTCACAAGGACGTAAGGAGGATGGTCCTAGGCTTGTGCTGTGCAGGAGCACACTCAGCACAGCATTCACTTCCAGCTCTGGCTCTGAGTGCAGGTGCAGCTATTGCCGGCATTTCATCTACAGTGTGCCCCCTTCCTCCAGTAAATGTGCCGCCCAGGGCTTCGGCCCCCTCCGCCCTCCCCATTGTCCCGGCCCTGCTTAGGAGACACTGTGGTGGGGGGGAGACAGGAGACTCTGTTGGAGGGGCGCTTAGGAGACACCGTGGGAGGGGGGGACACAGGAGACCCTGTGGGATGGGGGCTTAGGAGACACCGTGGGAGGGGGGGACAGAGTAAACTACAGTGGGGGGATTTTGATGAGAAAAGGACAGGGGACACTGCTTTGGGGGATGGGGAGGCAGAGAACACTTTGTAGGGGGGCAGAGAACTGGACACTACTGGGGGGAAGAGAGCAGAGGATATGACAGCAGGAAGGATGTGGTGTGAAGGGGGGGCAGAGAACACTGCTTTGGGGGGTACAAGACACTGCTTTGGGGGTGTTACAGGACACTACTGTGGGGGGTGAAGAACACAGCATTGTGGGGCAGAGGACACTACAGTGGGTGAGGGGGGGTGGTGAAAAGGGGGCAGAGGACACTGCATTTGTGGGTACAGGACAGTACAGTGGGGAGTGATGTAAAGGGGGACAGAGGACACTACTATGGGGGGCAGAGGCGGACTGACTATTTGGGAACTCGGGCACTGCCTGAGGGCCCGGGGTCAGTAGGGGGCCCCATGAGATGCCCCATGTAGTAATTGTGCACACAGAGATGGACGCGGCCCTCCATTTTGTTAAGAATTTCCTATGTTATACCATTTCTCACACCCAACGCAGGCTACCCCCTTCATCTTGTAGATCTCTCATCCCCCTCCCTCGCTGTGGGGTGACATGTGGCCTGAGT